GGATCACAGGTTCAATCTGGTGTCCCGAGTTGGGTCAGCCCCACCCAAATTACATGAACTGAGCATAAAGAGTTCCCTGAATAAGATAGGGGCTCAGTTTCTGAAAGAAGGGATGAAAGCAAGCACAAAAAGAGGTGTCCTCAATTTGCCTGTCTATAAGACACTCGTCGGCTATTTCTGGAGCCAAGTACCTGGGAATATAATAGTTCTGCTGCAGCCACACAGGCTTGGTCCTTGGGCAGGGGACTCTCACAGCACTGGATGGCAGGTAGGAGCAGTCTCTCCCCAGAGAACGGTGGCACCGCAGATGGTGCTCGCTGAAAAGGCAGTTCTAGGGAGCAGCAGGCACAGCTGGTTTGCACGAGCCCTCAGCTAGATTCGCCTAGTGCCCTTCAAGAGAGTTGTAAAGGACAAAAATCAGGGACCTGATGGAGGCGGAGAGTGGGGAGAGGCCAAAATGCCTCCAGCTCCCCAAAAGGCGAGGGCTTGTCAGCCAAGGCATGTCCAGACCATGGGGAGCTGGGGGCCTTAGGCTGGGGAGGCATTAGGGATGATGTCCCTGCTCAGCCACTTCCCCCCGCAAACTTCTTCTCAGGCCACCCCACCCCACTCCAGCACCCTCTGAACTACGCATTCCTCCTCTGAGTGCACCCCTCACTCCCAACACACATCTCCTGGGCCCTTGTATTCATTCAAAAACTACAGTGGGCCACAGCAGGCCTAGCTCACAACCTCACAGAACACACAGCTCTAGAAAGTATACATTCTTTACTTTTAATTGCACAAGTGATACATAATGTGATTCTCTTTGTAAAATATTCCAATGACATACTTACTACTGAAGCTACTTGACTCCCGACTGCCCTGCCAGCCTCTCTCTCAAAGTAACCTCAGCTATTCATTTGGTGTACAGCTGTTAAAATACTTTTCTACTTATGGACATCCTAATATGTTTGCATGCAGAAATATAGTGCTTTTGTTTTGTTGACATGTTAAAATTGGTCCAAAAGGGGAGCACCATGAAAAATCTTCTGCCTAACCTATTCCCCAGCAGCTCAATGCTGTCTTAGAGCAACTGGCCAAGGTCACCTGTTTCCAGTGCTTCCTTCCAGCTTAGCAAGGCCAGAAGTCAGCAAACCTTGCCTGTAAATGGCCAGATCATAAATATGTTAGGCTTTGCGGGCTTATGGTCTCTGTCACAATGAATCGACTCTGTCATTGTATTGTGATAGCAGCCATAGGCAGTGCACAAGTGAATGAGCATGGCCAGGCCATGTGCCAATAAAGCTTTATTTATGGGCACTGACATTTGAATTTCATATCACTTTCACATGTAATGAAATATTATTCTTTTGATTGTCTTCCAATATTGAAAAATCTAAACACCATTCTTAGCTCACGGATTATACCAAGACAGATAGCAGGCTGGATTCACCCTGTGGGCTACAGTTTACCCACCTGGTCCAGCCACATAAAAAACAAGTGTGCGCGAATATTCTTTCCCCTCCTTTTACGTGAGGCCAGCATCCTGTACACATTGTTCTAGACCTTGATTTTCTCACTTTGTGGGCATCTTAGAGATCATGCAGAACTTTGTGCTGTCATCTTAGCCTTGAAGAAATCCATAGTTCTCAACCGGTCCAGGGAGCAAATCGTTAGGCAGCAGCAGAATGAATAGGTCAGGCTGGAACACGGGAGTGTTTCTGAGCAGGTCCTGGGATCGAGGGAAGCAGGTTCTTTTGATGGAAGCATCCTCATACCATCATTTAAACAGAACCGGAAAACACCTGAGGGGTCAGTTAACGCCATCCCGTCTGCAGTCAGGAGACTGAGGCCCCAGCTAGGGAAGGGACTTGCTCCGGATGGATCGTGCACCCAATCAAGTGTGAAGCTGGGAGTGCCGCCCAGGTTCTGATTCCAAGCCGGTGCTCTTTCCTCCTAACGTGTAGAATCAAAGGGTTTGCCTCTAAACCCCTCCCTGGGTTCCTCTACTCCTAATGGGAGACCACGGCCTTTCCCAGAAGGCGGCATGGAATGGGACCTAAGGGCCCTGGTTTTCCAACCGGACAGCCCTGGATTCAAATCCCAGCTTGGGCACCAAGGTCTAGTTACCTTACCCTTTGACCATTGATGTTTTCCTCTTTGACGCTTAACATCACCTCCTTCACAGGATTATACTCACACTTACTATCACCTATCTCACAGTTTAATGGCAGACTTAAATGACACAAATACATTGCCTGGTATACACTAAGCACTCAATAAACTGCTTCTTATTTTTTCCCTCTAGTTCTCTTCTTTTTTAAAAATTTTTTTATTGCTGTTTAATTACAGTTGTCCCCATTTTCCCCCCATTGCTCTCCCGGCCCTGCCCACCACCCCTTGCCCACATTCCATCCTCCCTGACCCTTGTTGTGCTTGTCCAGGGGTCCTTCATACCTGTCCCTCGATTTGTCACTTCCCCTCCTTTCCTCTATTACCTCCGTGTCCCCTCTCCCCTCTGGTCACGGTCAGTTTGTTCTTTATTTCCATGTGTCTTGTTCTATTTTGCTTGCTTGTTTGTTTTGTTGATTAGGTTCCTCTTATAGGTGAGATCATATGGTATTTTGTCTTTTACCGCCTGCCTTACTTCACTTAGCATAATGGTCTCCAGTTCCATCCAAGCTGCTGTGAAGGGTAGGATCTCCTTCTTTCTTTCTGCTATGTAGAATTCCACTGTGTAAATGTACCATAGTTTTTTCATCCACTCATTTACTGACGGGCACTTAGGCTGTTTCCAGCACTTGGCTATTGTAACACTGCTACAAACATTGGGATGCACAGATTCTTTTGGATTGGTGTTTCAGGGCTCTTAGGATATAATCCCAGCAGTGGAATTGCTGGGCCAAAAGGCAGACCCATTTTTAGTTTTCTGAGGAATTTCCATACTGTCTTTCACGGTGGCTGCACCAGTCTGCATTCCCACCAACAGTGCACTAGGGTCCCTTTTCTCCGCGTCCTTGCCAACACTTGTGTGTTGATTTGTTTGTGATGGCTATTCTAGTTCTCTTCGTGGTGAATTGGCTGTAAGGGTATAAAGATTAATTTATCATAGTGTAGGGAACTCTCGGGTCAGACTCCATGCAGGTGGGTGGATCACTATTACTTCATTTGGCTTGGTTGAGTTGCTGTCTCCCCAGTCCTTTAAGAAACTGCCGTTCGCAGCAGAGGGACTGTCACCAGCTTCGTTTCTCTCCACTCCATTAAATGATAGGAGCTGAGAATGAGATTTCCTCTGAGCTCAGTGGTTCTCTCAACCTCTGTCGCCATTAGAATTACTTAGGGGACTGTCTACAAAACGCCAAGGACTGGGCCTCATCCCCTTTCTTATCCTGATCAAATTGGGGGAGGAGTCCAGGCAGCTTAAAAGCTCCCTTGGTAATCCTACTGCAGTTGGGTGCGAGATCCCCCAGTTCGGAGACCACCATGGCTGTGTCCAAATCACCTGAAGGCTACGCCCCTTCCATTCAGTAGGTCTGGGGCAGGGCCTATGAATTTGCATTTCTTTTTTTTAAGATTGTATTTCTTTTTAGAGAGAGGGAAAGAGGGAGGAAGAAGAAAGAGTGGCAGAGAAACATAGATCGGTTGCCTCTCACACGCCCCAACTGGGGACCTGACCTGCAACCCAGGCATGTGCCCTGATGGGGAATCAAACCTGTAGCCTTCCAGTTCGCAGACTGGCATCCACTAAGCCACACCAGCCAGGGCTGCATCTCTAATAAATTACCATGTGATGTTGATGGTGGCAATGTGGGGAACACATCTGATAACGGCTGATGTAGAGAAACTTGAGTGGACCTTCATGGGTTTTTTCCTCCCCACATTCTTGTCCCTTCCGGTCACAGCTCCTGACTTCTCTTTGGTGAACTACCACATGTCACCTCTTGGGCTGTAAGGCATAGGTGATACTCACCCTGCCTCCCAGCTTCAGGAGTGGGAATGTGACCGTGTCTGGCCAATCAACAGAATCTACACCCCAAGTCCAGTGAATTATTCGTTCACCCATGGCCGTGTCACTTAGCAGAGTCCAGTGAGACTTAGCCCCTGGACTTTTGCTGGAACCCTTGGGAAGAGGCGCAAAGCTGGAAAGACGTGAGCCTGCAGCTGCTGCTGATCTTTGCCTGGAAAGACTTGCCTGACGATGAGGCAGCCAAAGGAGAGCAGAAGACATTAAGAGAGAGCAGGTCATGATGACACCCTCCATTTTTTAAGAAAAAGATTTTATTTTTAGAGAGAGGGGAAAGGAGGGAGAAAGAGAGGGAGAGAAACATCTATCGGCTGCCTCTTGCACATGCCCAGTATGGGGACTTGAATCCACAACCCAGGTATGTGCCCTGACCAAGAATTGAACCGGCAAACTTTTGCTTTGCAGAATGAAGCCCAATCCACCAAGCCACACCAGTCAGGGCTGATGACACCCTCTTATCCCTGGATCCAGCCAAACCTGACTCTAGATCTGAGTTTTTCAGCTGTATGAGCTAATAAACAGCCCCCCACACCTTTTTTTAATGCCAGTTTGAGGTGGGTTTTTGTCCTTTGCAACTTAAAGAGTGCTGACTACATGGGACATTTAAGTGTCTCCCCCCAGAGAGTGAGTTGTCGCTTCTCTCCCAGATGCAGTTTCCAATAAGCCACGAGCCTCAAAAAGGCCCCAGAACTGAGCAGCGGAACTCTTAGAGGTCACTTAGTCCCATCCCCTCCTTGTTTATTCGGGGAGACCTGGGGGAGCAAGGAGAGGTGAGGACTTTCCCTGAGTCATGAGCACAACAAAGCCAATGGGATATCAGCCCTCAGCTCTGTCAGTAAATACACCCCTACCAGTGGGGTGATAACAGCCAGCGGTGCAGTGACAGAGTGATGGCCCAGTCTCCTTCACAAGGACACCCACAAAGGGACAGGGGCAATGTCTCAGTTTCTCTAATTGCAATCAAACCAACAAGCCCATAAATATTGTTGTCTTTAATCATAAATGCAGTGGGAAGAAATTTTCAGGGGACAAAGATGAGCAACAAGAGGAAATGAAATGGAAATGAAATCCTCCAGTAACCTCACCACTTGCACTGGCCCTAAGATTTTGGGAGCATATTTTATGTTTGCTTGCTTTTTCTATATGGATTTATGCCAGGCAATGTGGGGATTAGTTCTGGGGAACCCGAACTATTCTTCTGAGGAAGAAATGGGGGTGAGGCTTGGAAGTAGGAGGGGGAGAGAGAGCCCCCATTCTTTGGAGCTGTGTCAGACAGGGCTCTGTGCGAGCACCAGAAACTAAGAGCGAAGGGGGTTTTTCCTGAAGCCCAGTGGGAGCCTACATAATTAATGAGAGATGGTGAGAGCAGGCCCGTGTCAGCAGGAATGAAGGGAACTCTGAGGTCCGTGAAGCAGGAAGCAGGCAAAGCCGTCACTGCCTTTAACAGGGACAGAGGCGGGGGTGCTATCAATGACCACACAGCTCCTATCGTCACAAAGAGAATGACCAACCAGGAACCATTCCCTTGTCCTTGACAGAGTCAACATCCCTGGAAAGAGCATTTTGGGTCACGTGTCTCCACTGATTCACCCACGTGAAGAGAGGAGGGAGCTGATACCTTTGACTTTAATGGGAGGAGGCCAGCAGTGGGCGGAAGGAGCCAAGAATGACCTCTGCCCCAAGACAGTTGGGGACAGGCAATTCGCCTTAATGGAACTGGGGTGCTTTTAGGAGGGGAACGGGTGCTGTACAGTCCCGAACTGAGAGCTGCCCGCTCCTGAGCCTGGAGTGAGACGACAGCACCAGGGGACCGCTGCTTCCAGAGGCGGTGTGTGTGTGAGCCAGCAGTCTCGATCCTGGGTCCCCGCTTGGCCATTACCTCGCTGCGAGGTCTCGAGTAAGATGCTGGCGCTCTCTGAGCCCCACATCCCTCCTCAGGCAAGTAACCTCTGGGCTGCCCTCCTTAGGGCCCACTCACGGGTGTGAACGAAGTTAAGGTTGTGGAAACCTAGGAAAGACAAAATAAACAAAGAATTTTTAACAGTATGTAACACAGGAAGATTTTTTCTGCTGCAATATTGGCTTTTCTGTATCTGCAAAGTTGAGAAACTAGGAAATAGGGTTTTGGTTAGGAAAAACAGCTGTTAAGGGGTGTTTCTGTGTGTGTGTGTCCATCTCTCTCTGATTCCATCTCTCTCTCCCCCCCTTCTTCTGCCCCCTGCTCTCTGTCTCTCGCCCTCCCCCCTCCTCCCCTGCCTTTTCCCAGGCTTAGCCAGGTCGGAGCTGAGGTATTCTCAGAAGTGGCAGCTCAGGGCCCTTTTAGGCCAGCTCTTTCCTCCCCTAATGGCTGTGGTTGGCAAGATCAGACCAAGTCAAGACAGCCTCTGGGTTTTTCTGGGCCTCTGGCTCCAGGCTTGGAAGGCAGGGCATTTCTGTCTTTGCAAATCTCAGGAGTGTGTGAAAAGGGGACCGCAGTGACAGATGGGGGCAGAGGACCCATTCGGCTCCTGGAGAGAGAGCGGTAGGGGGACCCTCCAGCACTTGGTGGCTGGTGGCTTCCAGCCAAGGCAGGCAGCCCTGATGTCCTCCGCTCAGCCCTGCTTCCTGCCCATCCGGCCCCTGCCAGCTCTCCTGCTGCTGCAGCCTCCGGGGTCCAGACAAATCCTGACAACCCCAACCGCCTCCTCGCCACTCACTCTGTAACCTTGGGAAAGTCATTAACCTCCTCTCACCTCAATTTCTTTTGTCCTGGAACGGAGGTGATAAGAAGCGACTTGTGGGAAGAGGGTGAACAATAGTGTAGCTGAGAGGGGCAGTCAGCCCCCTGCGGCCTGCCCGCCAGATCCAGGGCGCCGCCTGTTTCCACGTGACCGGCAAGCTAAGAAAGGAGTTTGTATTTCTAAATGGTTCGAAGGAAAGAAATCAAAAGAAAAGTAACATCTCATGCCACGGAAGATGACAGGAAGTTCACATTTCATTGTCTCTGAATAAAGTTTTATTGGCACACAGTCGCATCCATTTGTTGATGTGTTGTCTACAAGCGCTTTTCCACCCCAGCGACAGAACTGAGTAGTTGGGACAGAGGCTCTGTGTCTGAAACCCTCCTGGCCTTGGCAGAAAAGGTTTGCCTGCCCTTGGCACGGGTTGGAGAGTGCAGACTCCCTGGGTCCCAATCTCTGCTCTGTCACTACTTTTGTGACTGTGGGAAGGTCGCTCAATCTACATGTGCCTCAATGTCTTTGTCTGTAAAATGGGAATAGTAATTGTTATTATGGGTTGTTTTGGATATTAAATGAGTTAATATCTGTAGAGTCCCAGGCCCAATGTCTGTACACAGTATTATGTAAATGAAAATGAGATCATACGTGTGAAGAACTAAACTTGTATTGTGTGTTTTGGATTTGGTTGAAGCAAGATCAGGCAGAATGGTGGCTTTGTCCCTGCTCCTTTCCTGTTACTGTCTGGAACAACTTTTTTCTTTGTTCAGACACTTGAATGAAGACCTCCCATGTAGGGTGGTGGAATGTACCAAGGGTGCGTGAGTTGGGGGGAGTCCCTGGGGAAAGACAAAATGAGATGCCCAGAAGCTCTGTCAGGGACAAATGCACTGAGAATGCAAGCGGTGATTTGGAGACATAAGCCTAAGTGCAGCCAGCCCTCAGGAGCCATTGGTAAGTGCCAGTACCTCCTGTCTTCTAAACATTCTCCATTTTGCAGAACTGGCCAACTCTTTCCTGGCAAAAGCATGCCGAGAACAAGTCCTTCTGCAGGTCACGAATTCTACTTTAGCCCTGGCTGGTGTGGCTCAGTGGGTTGAGCACTGGCCTGCAAACCAGAAGGTCACTGGTTCCATGCCTATTCAGGGCACAGGCCTGGGTTGCGAGCCAGGTCCCCAGCTGGGAGCCTGTGAGAGGCAACCGGCCAATGTTTCTCTCCCTCTTTCTCCCTCCCTTCCCCTCTGTCTAAAAACAAATAAATAAAAATCTTTAAAATTTTTTTTATCAGCTGCTACAGAAACATTAACCTGATCTCTGGGGGCAAAGTTTACCCTGTTGGGCAGTTCCTGGGATCACCTGGCCTAGGGAGATCCCGCACTGCCCAATGGTTCTGAGACTGCCTGGTCCATTGCAAGGACTCACAGCCCCCTGCCATGTATCTGCAGCCTAATTTCCCAACCTTATCTTCCATTGCTCCCCTTTACACATGCAAGACTCACCCAAAGAAGAGCACAGTTCAGCCTTTTCAAAACCACATGCTGTATTAGTTGTTTTCTCACTGCAAGGGGCATAATGCCAGCTCCGACCAGGCTGACCAAGAATGGAAAGTTTATCGGCTCATGTGACTGAGATGCACAGGGTTGTCTGGCATCAGGCCCAGCTGGATCCAGCAGCACAGGGTCCCTCTGGCTCCACCTCTTGGTTCTGTGTTAGCTTCATTCTCAGACCAACTTTCTTCTCAGAAGTTGCAAAATAGTTGCTACAAGCTCCAGACTCAAATCCTGCTGCTGAACAACCTAAGGAGAAATAGAATCTCTCTCTCCAGGAGTTTGAGCCCAAGGCCCATGAAGTGACTCTCATAGGAAAGACAGAGTTTCTGTGAGAACAACCGTTATTCCCATTTTACAGAAGAAAAAACTGATGCACATCCAGATTAAGTGACCTTCCCAAAGTTACAAAGTTAGTGACATAAAAGAGATCTGTCCACCCCAAGTAAAGCCCTGTGGCAAGAGGTATTAAACATAGTGACTGAGCAGACCTAAGTCACATACCCCAGGCCGCAGGAGTAGAAACCTCCTAAGAGCTGAGGATACCATGAGGGTCAGTGTCGCTTACACCCCAGGGCTTGAAAGTAGGAAAGAGTGAATCCCTAAGGGACAGTGTACATTCTGTCATCAGGAACAGGAGAAACAGGTGATGGGCAGGCAACAGCACGTGTCCATCACCACACATGTGGTGCCCATCCTCCCAGCAACCCCGTGGACTGGTAATGAGGGAAATACAGCCAGGAAGGGCACCTCTGGGTGATGGAGGGAAAGTCCTGCATTTCTTTGGGACACCTTACCAGCTATGGGAGAAGACTAAAAGGAAGGGCAAGGGAGCCATGGGGAGGATTTTGAACTTTGGAAGTTGGCCTCACTGCAAGTATTGTGTCTAATGAAAAGAGAGGTGCCTCAGGAGCCAGAGCCCAGAGTCTGGGCGGGAGACCCAGGGAGCAGGAGAGGAACTGTGCACAGACACTACCCAACACCTTTTGTTTCCTTCCTTCCTTCTTGAAGAGCCCTGTGCTGTTCGGGTGTGCAGAATCATGATTGGTCCAAGCCCATCATGATGTTCTCACCTCCCTTACCAATGATTGGACCAGGTATGAACATGTGATGAGATTCTGACCAATGATATGTAGAGGGCTTTTCAGAAGCATTTTCTTCACTGATAAACACACAAGAAGAAACCAAACTCCTGTGCTGGACATTGGCACATCTGAACGTGGAGCAGCTATCTCATAACCATGAGGAGAGCCAACCTGAGGGCCGGCTGGAACCAGAAGAAGGCAGAACAGAAAAATGGAAAGGACCTGAGCCCTTGACTATGACATTGAGCCTCTGAATTAACCACCCTAGAGCCATCTTACTTTGGGACTTCTTAGTGTAATAAATTGACCTTATTGTGTAGGTCCATCCCACTGGTGTCCCCCCTTCCCGGGGGGCCACAGCACACGAAGTGACTCAGATAGGCCTTGCCTATGGAGAGAGTCTCTAGAGAGAGAGGGCTGAAATCTTCAACACCAGCTCTTGATGCCCTGGGCAACCACATTGTCTTCCTGGGCAGTGCAGAGTGGTGGACAGAGGACGGGCTTCAAAGGGTGCTAGATCCGCACCCTTGGACTCATGAATGCACCTCTCTGGGCCTCGGTGTTCTCATCTGTGAAATGGAAGAATAACCTGCGCTTCATTGAGTGTGAAGGTTGAGACCATGCATGGGGGTCTGACATACAATTATAACGGCTGTTTGTGGGAGGACCACTCTTACCTGTGCGTCCTCGGACCAAGGTCTCAGTGCTGTCAGAACAATGATTTATACAGTCGTTTTATCAGGATCCACTCAAAATCTTTTGAAAAGTCCAGATTTCTGGACTCCATTCACGGAGCTCAGGATCCAGCAGATCTGAGACAGGGTCTGTGGATCAGGACTCTCTCGGTTGCCAGTGGCGGAAACCCAGCTCAAACTGGCTGAAGAATAACGAAGCAAAGCATTGGCTCCTGTGTCTGAATGGCCCAGAGGGGATAAACTTCAGACAGGCCGGGTCCAGGTGTTCATGTCAGCTGGTGTGTCTGTCTGTCTGTCTGTCTGTCTCTCATCCCTGGTCATGGTTTGCCTCGGGGCTGGCTTCATTCTTAGCCAACAGTTTCAAGCTGACAGCTACCAGCCCGTGGCCTCTGAAAAAGAGAGCTTCTCTGCCAAGACCCTGGGGCTGCCACTCCAGCCAAGCTTTGACCCTGGACCTGGCTGAATACTTCGGCTGTGATCGGCCCCGACTGGGGAACATGCTCAACCCTGGAGACCGAGGGAATGGGGTCTCCAGCCAGACCACATGGGCTGTGGGGGGTGGGGGGGCAGGGAGGGCTCCTCAAGGGAACCCAGAGGGTATCCTCGAGGGAAGTGGAAGGGGGTGCTGAGCAGGCAAACTTGCTACAGGGCTCAGAATCCATGTTTCTTACCGAGTCACCCAGTTGATTCTGATGCAGAGACAAATTTGGGAAAGACTTCAGATTAGAACATGGTTTGAGGATTTATTAGAGCCACAGAATCCCTTTCTTCCTAGGAAATCTTAAACAGGAGAAAACAAACAAAACAGATCCAAAACTGGCCCCACGCTAGTAGAAGGAGGGGCGTGGGGGGCTTCCATCATCCCCGAAGCATCCCTGAAGGTCCCCAGGGGCTCCCCGGAGTGCGCTGATCTCATCGCCCTCGGAGGCCCCCCTTGCTCTGATTCTCCAACCCTGCATTTGGTGCAACAGGCAGGGCAGGGTCGAGGAGCGTCCCAAAGAGCTCACCTAATTCTGCCTCCCCTCCAACCCACACCCCTGCCTTAGAAGCCCGGGCTAGAGGAGTAAATAGGGACAGGAGGGGCCCATGGCTGACGTAGAGGGAGCATCAGACAAGCCACATCCAGATGCTTCTGGCTGTGAAAGCCCATCCTGGCCCAAGGCCAGAGCGGGGCTCTGCAGAGCGCCGGGCCCTGGGGCCGCGTGGGCGTTGATGACCGGCCTGTCTGCCAGTGACGAGGGCATGTCAGCAGCGCCCGCATCTGTTGCAGCGGAGGGAGATGCTGCAGGGACGCACTGGCTGGGGCGGGGACGTGCCAGAGGATGAAGTCAATTTCACACTTTATTAGTCAGTCCCGGGCCAGCCAAGGCCGTCCTGGAACTGGGCTGAGGCCCGGCTCTCCCTCCTCCCGGTACCAGCGAGAAAGGCCTCTATCCCCTGAAATTCTTCTCATCAAAGAAGCAATATTTTTTTTTCCTGTTCAGAATTACACAGCATTCAAACAAGGAATTGGGATCCCTTCCGTTCTGCAGGAGACTGCTGCAGCTGCGTGCTCGGCACGGCTGAGAGCTGACAGACCTGATGTGTGTGCTCCAGCTACAACACAGGGCAGCCAGTTAAATTCGAATCAGATCAACCATTGGTAATTTTTCAATATAAGCATGATGCTTCATTTGGGACATACTAAAGAGTGCTTGAATGTAGCGCTGAATAAGAAGGATAAAATCCCTGCCTTCGAGACACTTACTTTCTGATGGGGGAGTCGGACAACAAGCAAACTCGACAACAGGAGGGATGGAGACTGGCTATAAGGACAGCAAGACATGGTGACGCAATGGTGAATGACAGGGATCAGGGCATGTGGGGGGGGGGGCGGTGGAGGCTTCCAAGACAGGGTGGTCAACGCAGGCATCCCCTAGAAGCTGACCTGCATGGCAAGAAGCCAGCCTCGGGTGGACCTCGGGGAAGAGCACCCCAGGGACGGCAAGAACCAGTGCGAAGTCCCCGAGTCAGGAAGGAGCTGGGAGTCACTGAGGAACAGAAGGCAAACCTGCAGAGGGGGGCGGGGCCTTTTAGGTTAGAGTGAAGAGCGTGGGCTTTGCTCAGTTTTCAGCAGAGGTGTGATGCCCTACTTTTTCAGAGTCTCTCTGCTCTATGGAGAGTGGACGGAGGGTAAAGGACTCAGGTGGGACTGAGAGATCATCAGGAGGGCCCTGCAGGGGTCCAGGTGAGAGACGCTGCACTTCAATTACCTGGAGGGGAGATGCAGGAGGCCAGACACACAGGAACCAATTTGGGGAAGGTTTGGGGGGCCTCACCGAAGGATTGCATGTGAAGGGCTGAAAGGAAGAGAGGAACTGGGGTGAATCCCAGGCATTGGGCATGAACGGCTGAATGGACCAGGGTGCCGTTTGCTGAGGGGCAGACTGCGGGAAAAGTGGCTTTGGGGTGGGGTCACAGGTTAGGTGTTTGTTGGCGCCGTACCTGGGGGAGGAAGCAACAAATTGCACGTCATTGTCACAGCACAGACTACAGAAAGCAAATTCAGTTTTGGGCTGCATCTCCCAGTGAGATGCAGACGCATGAAGCTGAGGGGAGGGCTGCCCCTTGGGATCTCTGGCCTGGGAGGCGGCCAGGGGCATTGCTGTGAATGGGAAGGGGATGCACGCTGAAATTTTCCCAAAAGTTTGTGTGTGCCTCATTGTGATTACTTTTTATTTTACAATTGCTGTTCTGACTTATGGCTTTTCTTTTCTTTCTTTCTTTTTTTTTTTATGGTGAGGGAAGAGGGATGAAAAAGACTGTGATAAAAAAAGATTTAGAAATTTAGGGGACATAAGTGGGGGAAGGTAGACCCACACACACTGCTTATCAGGAAGCAGGGCAAGGTGGCCGGCTGCAGTCCCCAGAGAGTATCTGAGGACACGGTCCCAGCGGCGACCTTGGGCTTCTTATGACATCCCCTTGTTTTCAGTGTTGAAAGGAGAACCCAGTGCAGGGCTGTGTTTCGGAGTCTGGGGTGGTGAAGGGTGCAGGAGCGCACAGACACGGGAGGCAGGGCTGAAGACCCTGGAGTGTTCACCCACCGGGGCAGAGAGGGCTCGGGGGCAGGGCCACTCCTGGTGAAGTTGGGAAGGAGTGGCACTGGCTGTGGGACCCCGGTCAGCCCTTCACTGAGCACTCACACGTCCCAGATGCCGTGCCAGACGCTGTGGTGCCCCAC